CAAGTACTTTTATCAATATTTGCTTACCTATAAGTACGCGAGGGAAAAGAACAGTCTAGTCAACGATTTCTTTTAATCTTCAATAATGGAAAGCTGGCAACGGCACGAAACGGAGAAAAAATCAGCATTAAAGATCGCCGCCGAACCTATTTCTTATTTCAGAGCTTGGCGGACCCCAAGTTATGGTATAAGGAGTACATTCAGGTTGGTATATCTCCATCCATTTATTATTTAAGAGGCAAACACCGGATTGCCGTGAGATCAATACGGACCGACCTTGTGGGGGATTGGAGCGCTCTTCCGTCTGCCGAGGAACAATGAATGATGAATAACTAAAGATGTATAAAAGTATTTTTAAAAGCGACGAGACGTGTATGTAAGCATTTAGCCACATGATCGCCTGATATTATTTCGCTGCTTTTTAAAAATAGTGGCCCAAACCAAAGTACTTAGCGCCGTTTTGACTTATTACCGAGATTTGTTCAGAAAATACTGAATATTATCGATGTCCCACACATCGAGCTTTTCATTGGTTAAAATCATATCTATGGTTAAAATAATCAAATGACAATGATGGGGTGATCTACAATATGTCAGTTATGCGCGACAGACACTTAGAGGATGGAAAAAAATAAAGGAAGACACGACAATTTTTTTTAAACCATCATGATGAATTAGACGATTTTGAGGTAGCCACTATTCTAAAAACCACCGAGAAGACGATTTGGTTGAAGATGAATTTTGCTTGTGGCTTCACTCTGGCCTCGAAACTGGTATTGTATCTATCTGCATAAAGAGAGGTGTGGTCCTCATAACAACGTTCGAATGCCAACTTTAACGTCCCCTTTTATGCTATTTATGTCACTTAGCTACAAGCTTTGTTTTCATCGTATAACTATTTTCCCGGTGTTATATTGTATCTTTTGAATTCGTGGCATTGGTATAAAACCATTTGTGTCAAAAGTTCTTTTGTCACACGAAAGTCATAGTACGAACTACATGAAACATTATGTAAAATTTTATAACTCTCCTATTTAAGGGCGCGTTCAAATTAACCGCTGTTAGCCGCGCTGCAGCCGCGCGGCGGTCGCGCTGCAACCAGCCATCTTGACCAAAAATAAATTTTTGAAAATTCTTGGCAACCATCTTGGATTTAGAAATTAATGCCACATTCTCAATGATCACTCCCAAACAAATCGAAACGTCTATAATTCTCGTTGTTGATCGACAATGTCGTAGACACCTTTAGAATCTGTTCGTTACCTTTATTTTGTCAAAATAATCAATATGAATACTACCATTCAATAGTTACAAAATTCGATTTACGAAAATTATTTGTAAATATTTTTCGCTTTGTTTACGGGTTTTTATGGGATTTTTACGTTTGTTTAACACTATTCTTCACACTTGTATTCAGGACCAAAAAGTATATAGTTAAGGATTATATATTATAGTATAGGCAGGAGAGTTCTTGGGGCACACACTTCACGTATAGATATTAAAAATTACTCACAAGCTGCTATGTTTTTTTCATTTGTAGTTTTCGTTACAAAATTGTCAATAAATTTTAGATATAAATTTTCCCATGCCTTTTTTTCCAGACGATTAGAATAACTGGCGGTACTGATATCCTATATTGCAAGGTGTGGTTCTGCATTCTTTACAAATTCTTCAACTCGATTTTCGTCCATCGTAGTTAATTTGAAAAATTGACATGTACACCTCACTAACCGAGATGCAACCGAGCGTGCAGCCGCGCCACAGCGCGCGGTTGCAGCGCTTCTAGAAATTGTATGAAAAGTGAAAATCGCGCAGCCGTCGCGCGGCCACCGCGCGGCTGCAGCGCGGCTTTGAACGCGCCCTAAGCATAAAAAAGTTGCTGACTAATTTTGTTTGTAGAATCTTGAAGCCTGTCTTCTGAAAAGTAGTCATTTTGCAGACGTGGCTCTTATTACAGCATGGATGCAAATTCTGATTTTTTTAATATGTTAAATTTCTGTGCAATAATAATAAATAATAATAATAATAAATTTATTTACCGTAACTTACAATTAACAATCACATATTTGCACTATGATCCCCACACTAGGCTAGGCTGTCTCGTGGGAAGCAAAGCAGGTAAGATTAACCAAATAACAAAAACAAATAAAAAGCCTTAATAACCCGGATATATTTTGAAAACATCCTCAGAGATTGCCTGATTTTTAAACAAGGCTTTCTATACAAAAATAATGTTTGGGACAAAAATTCAGATGCCTACCTGACAAGAAATATGACAAGACGAATTGTTTACAGTTTGCGTTTCTCACAATTTGAGTGGGGATTTACGGGCTCACTTAGTTTAATACCTACCCTTATGTGCTGCGGGGAGTTTACTTATTGTTATTTATTTGTTTTATTTAAGATATAACTTACGTTTTCTTTGTATTTTATATACAGAATTTTGCCGTTACAGGTACAATGAAAAGGATTCATGAATCGCAAATGAAAATGAATAATCAAAACTTTATAATTTGTACATTTTATGCTGAAACGGTTATTTACTTAGGTTCTCGTGTTCAGGTTGGCAACGCAATAAAGATTGACTATAAATTAATTGAAAAGGCTTTTTATTATACCTACTAAGAGTAAATTATTCTGTTTGCCAATAGAAGGCCGAGACGCCCCTCTCGACTCTCGCCTCGTCACGAAGCGCAAGTCAAATCAGATTCCTAACGCAATCCAATTTGCTGGTGACGGATGAGACGAAGCATTTTAAACGTAGGCCCCTAGCAAATTTATTTAATTAGGCACAACGTTTATTGAAACGACTATTTTAAAGGCTGTCATATTAGATTACGATACACATATTTCGACCGAACACAACTCCGAGAAGACACAAATTCGACACTGTTGCGGTCTGGCAGGTCAGTATCAAGTGGGATTTGTGTGTGTCGAAATTCAGCGTGACTGATTTCTAAGACATGATGGTAGAAACTACGAATTTAGAAACGTATTCAAAGTAGTTGTCTAATAGCGGTAGACAATATCAACAGGTAGATCTATTGTGATGAACATGGTGTATAATCGCAATTTTCTTTAAAACACAAATGCATTAAAAAACTGAATTTAAGACATGTATCAATGCAAGTACAATATATAATGAAATAACCTGCGTTATAAAAGATAAAATTTGAGCCATTGCAATAAAAACCGCTGCCGTTGAGACAACTGTTCTCTTCCTTGGTGATAAATTACATGTATCTGTGTAACTAAATATTATTTGCAAACTGTTTCTAACTCATGCGAGAGAGAGATTTTGAGCGAGCCTTTGACCTACTGTCACAGGGTTCCGTTATTAATCATTTTGGGTGCTTTGAGCAAAAAAGGTATAAGCCAAGCGAAATTATATTTTAGTAACAAGAAGATATTAGATAGTTAACTAGTAACACTTGTGGGTTATAAACCTAAAAATGAAAACAGGTGGTAGTTTGAGCGTTCCCCAAGGTAAGTTCTGGGTCCATTTTTGTTTAGTTTATATTATTAATTTACCTAACCTCTAAAAGCTTTTCAACATGAGAAAATATTGTTTGATGGTGAGACTTCCTTTTCATGTAAAATTAAAAGAATACTATTTTATTAAGGTATAAATATCCTTAATATATTTTATTAAGGATATTTAGTAAGGATACCATTATTGCAGTGGGTTCCACAAACGATTGTGGGAACGATTCAGCTCTGCAGGAAATGAGATCAAATGTGTTTGACAACCTTTGTACATTTGTGGCATTTTTTTAATGTATTAAGTAGGCAAAATATAAAGTGATTGTTCTAGATAGTCGTCACCACAGAGTCGCGAAATTATTTAAGGTACAATGTGCACTTCTTTTAATCCCTGTTTAGAATTAAATGTTTAAAAAAAATGTCATTTAAGAGTTTGTTGTAAATGAAATTGACTGCATATAGTAGTGAAGGTGCGTGTATTTTTATGCTTTACAGTGAACGCAGTTAATAAATAATTACTTTAAAAATAAAATAAATATTTTATATTTATGTTACTTGGTTGATAAAAATTCGTGACAAATCATTGATCTGTTTAGCTCTTTCTTTTAATAAAATGTAGACAAATAATTGGCTTCGCCTACAGAACGTATATATAAAAAAAAAGTATAGATTCATTCAATATAGATTCATGTTACACGTTCGGTTTACTCGGACAAGGCCGTACCTAAGCCTCGGACATGCTACGGGCACGGTTCTACCTATGACCCATGGTTGATTTAGTGATACCAAACAACGGCAAATCGATCGATCAAACCGGACGTATAATCAGAAGTAGCAGGCGTTCTGATTAGAATGATTTAGACAAATTAGAGCGATGCGTTGCTGTCTCATGGCCCCTTGTCCGATAAGCACGGATTCCGTCGCCGCGCCTCTTTAACGCACCACGTGACACGTGTAGTTCTAATTTATATGTAGCACAATGTAGCGTCATCGACCAAGTGTGAAGGCATCAAGATGGAACGTATCGTGTGGCGTAGCTCTAAGACGGTGTCCGGCTTGTCCGGCTTTTGTTAGGTTTTATAGTTTAAATTTTGTTTAGCTTGATTTCGATGGTTAGCCATTGCAATAATATATAATTAATAATAAAAAAAACAAATATATTAAATGTTACTTTTATTTATTTAAAGTTTAAAATATATTAATTAATGATCAAAAAAGCCTAGTTTTACATTTTTTTTAAACTGTCTGGCTTTTAGGTTTTAAGAGCTGGCAACTCTAACCAGAAGAGTATAAAATGGAGCACTTTCCTGGGATCACGAAGCAAAATAAAAAAAATTGCGGCCTAGGTAATCCGAACCCCAACTACAAAAGTAATATAGCTTAAAGCTAATTAAAATTATTATATATTCACTAACAATTATTATTTTAATTAAAATATAATATAATATATTCACGGTCTATTCTTTGAGTTCTTGCGTAGCTTCAATCATTATAACAAACGATTAATTAAAGCTTACCTGTATTTATACAGCCCACGAGCATTCTCTTCCATGTTACTCCAGTTCTCCAATCTTGATTCGCTTTCACACGCGAACCGAACACTCCCGAACACTCACGAACCTTAACGAGTTTACGGCAAACTTGTCGAACGTTTTTCTTTTACTAAGAGATTTATCAGTTTGTGTTTTTATGTACGAGTGTTATTTAGCCTCCATTGTTTTGTTTTAATACGTTACTGTTCATTTATGAGAATCCTGGACAGTGTTTTATGCTGTAATATCAATTTCAGTTTCTCGGTAGCCGATCTAACATTGAACTTGTACAAAAAAGGCTCGTAGCGCGTATTGTCATCCTAACTCATCGAGTATATAACCAGAAGTAGAGACGAAATAAGGACCATATATTCCTGGTAACACTTTAGCGATACAGCTCTTAGAAATATCAACTCTCGTTTGCACTGAAACATAGACAGGCCAACTACTGACCTGCGTGTACGTCTCCGTATATTCCAAAAAATATTCTGTATTAATTGTAATAAAGATAATATCTCTAACAATGCCGTGCTGTTCTATTCGGTGGTGTGGGAAAAACAGCAAAACATCTAATTACAAAACGACACCCACTGACGACACCCGTCAATTGTTTGAACTCGGGCTAGCCAATCGGAGCGCAGTTGTCACAGTAATGATAATGGCAGAATAGTTTTCAAACAAATTAAATGACATTTCGTCTCTATTTCTGGTTATATACTCGATGTCCTAGCTAAACTACATTATACAGGGTTATATGTAAAATACTAACAACCTCGCAAGACTATATTACTAACATCATAAACAATAACTTTTTCACGTCACTAGCTCGGGAAGGCTTTCTTTCTCATTAGAAACCTGCGGGCAAAAGCGGGTTTTCCACGCTGGCGTGGAAAAGGTTTCTGAAATTCGGACTTGGCGATCGACTGTAGCGCACCTAAGATTTCTTTCTATGAAAAAAAAAAACATAATAACACGTTCAACTACGCGATTTGTCGTATTTTACTTATTTATGTAATATAAATCCGTTGGTATATTTTATTCTTATTATTGTTGACATTAAATTGACAACAATGACTAGGTAATTTTGTTTATTAAAACTGATTTGTCATACTTAGTACAACTGTTTTTCTTTCATCTACAATTTTCCTGGCTATAGTGAGGTGAAAAGTTGTGTGTTTCGCTAGCAAAATATTTTACGTCTTGTGCCTTGAAACCCTCGTTATGCTCAGGATTCTATTTTGGAATCACTCGCTTCGCTCATGGTTCAATCTTAGGATCCTTCGCTGGATCAGGTTTCTATACAAGCACTCGCGTTGAACAACAACTTTGCAGCTTTACATAACAAATAACTATTGTTCCATAATTTTTAATAAATCATCACATTTTACTTTAAAATAAAGATATTTAAATAGAGACGCTACCCTCCTACGTCCAAAGTCTTAAAAATAATGCGAACTACATGAAACAAATTACATTCGTTGATATTATTGTAGAGATTATAGTCCTGTGGATTTTTATGTCAAGATTAAGCAAAAACATTTTTTGCTCGAAAAACCTGAACGTACATTTTGCATAACCTTGAAGTATAAAAAAAAACTAAACATTGCAATTTATGCATATTTTACATTGACTTACAATTATATGGACGTCGGGTCCGCGCTAAAACGTGTCCGAACTTATAGGGCGTTAAAATCGTATACAGAGCGTCATTCACGCTTTAGTCTTCGTTTGTTCGACTGACAGCGAAGCAAGCAAAATTAGACAGTGCTGCGATGACATTACAATTTAAATTCAACGTTTTAGCTTTGTCATATTCCTTTACATGTCACTACGTTTAAATAGGTTGACTTGGGACATTTTTTTCGTGGTTTTTGTATTAGACCCGTAGTCCATTTATTTGTAAGTCAATGATATTTTACTAAATATATTTAGTGAAATCAAATTCTGCAGTATTTTCAGAATTTGGAAATTATAATCAATTAATTAATAATTCATGTGTCTGTGCCTTCTTCTTTAATAACATTTTAGTTCGAGTTGTATTTAATATCTATGAAAGAATAGCTGGCAATCTGTTTAAAAAAAAAAAAACAATAAACCCGCCATTTGCAAAATCCGTAAATGTTGTGTTGTGAAGCGATATTTATTCATACAAGAAATAAATTATCGTCGTATGTATAAGTATATATTTGTTCGCAAATGTTATGAAACTCATTGTATGTAGCACGGCAGGTAAAAATTACAAACTATAGTTATTAAAGCCCCGAAGTCAAACCGCCCCTAATACACAACGTATGTACTATAAGCAAAACAAGATTTCAAATTAGATTTGTGGTTACCTTGGCGAAATATTTATTATAATTTTTATTTATATTTATTTACATTACCAATACAATTACAGTACATTGAACAATATTTTATAAACTAAAATAATTTCCGGATTTATGAAGTAAGCTCAAAGTTTAATTTAATTACTTGCTCAAACTCAGGCAACGTTCCATTTGCAATGAGGAAATTTTGTTTTACTCGCCATCTTTGTTTAGTCGTCAGTTCATAGTTCGTTTTATGAATTTCTGCCAAGGACTTAAAGCCTTATGCGTAAAGAGCATTTTGTCAAAGTGACGTAAATATTTACTGTCGCGTTCTCAGACATAACAATAGTAATAGAAAAACATAATTTACATATATTCCTTTAATGTTCTATGTTGTAATGTAAATAATTCGTATTCGTCACGACATATTAAAGGTCAAGCTTGATTTACTTCTTGACACATTTGGGCGCAGTGTATGTGTAAACCTTGGATGCCCCGCTGAATGTCACCACCGTTTTGAATTTGCGACCTTTGGGCGCCTTCAAATTGGACGTTTATAGAAGCTCTGTAATCGCACGACTGTTGCGCGGCAGGCCTGCGTCTGTAGCGCTTTAGCAATTTTTAGTGCACTTATCGTGACCGCAAAAGTGGTGCACGCGTGTCACGACAGTGATGCTGCAACTGCGCTTCTAAATATTGTATGATAATTAGTAGTGTTGCAACGAATAGTATTTCGCCTTCAGGCCGAATACCGAATATTCGGTTCGGAGCGAGGCTTCATTCACTCCTAACTTTTAGCAGAATACCAAGCAGATAAAATTCTACCATTGACACTCTATCAACATACAACTGAGACGATTTATAATGAGCAGATTTGGGACGCTGTTTGGGTGACATTCACGCTTTGCTTGTTTAAAACAGTGTATTTATGTAACTGCACCCGTGCAGCGCACTAACTAATTCGCAGCATATTCGCCAGATGTGTACACCTCCTAAGGAAAAATGTGATCAAAATGTAAGTACCTACGTTAATATTGTAAGGACAATATCGATGATGCTATATAAAATCGGCTACCGATATGTAACGCAGCCAGCCGTTAGGTAAAATGGAATTGTTAAATAGCATGCATGTCATGTATGACCATATGGACGTGCAATGAATTCATGCATTTCGAGCATTCTGCGCCAGGTGCAACGTATTACATATTTATTTGATTGAATATCGTGTTGAATTTTAGTATATATTTTATGTTATTTTGCCTTTTCTTATTGTTTGTATTTTGAAATACATAATACGTTGTCAATTTGTTAGTTTCCTTTACTACCTAGAATAACTGATTACTAAATGTCCCTACAAAATGTACGGTAAAAAATATTTTGCGATTTGTGACATTTCGAGTACTCTTACCTCAGTTGGTCCTTACTAAAGACCGAATTGAATGGCATAAAAAAAAAGTTTTGTAAAAATTGCCTTTTATCTTGCTGACTGTACGATTTTTTCAAAACCTGTGAATTCCAATCAAAATATCTTCAAAATTCATGGATAGTCTTCTAGAACCGTTTTCCTGTAACTACAACGATTAAGATAGCTGGTCTTAATCGTTGTAGGCCTTGGCTTGACATCTGAAATTTACACCCTGTATAATACACAGGTATATATAGTCACGACGGATAGTCATGATATGGGAACAGGCTAGACGCGACCGATAAATAAAACGTTACGACATAACGGGAACGCGCCCTTACTAGCATTGGATTACGAGTTTCTATTTCGGTAATTTAGTGGCCAAAACAAATCCGCGTAAATGTCGTGGCAACCAAATTAGCATGATTTACGGGAATCTATTGTTATTGGCACACAAACTTGGAGGCCTATACCCACCAGTGGGTGAAGTCAGGCTGTATATAATGATGATGATGATTGTTATCAGCCCGTAGACAACATTAATTGATACTTACTGTGTTAAAATAAAGACCATTAAAATAACAAAGTAATAACGTTAAATCCCTCTCAGAGATATGCCTTTTATCATACGCGGATTTGCACTATCCCAACGATACGTCATTTTATTTTTAAATTACTTTTAATTGATAATTTTAATTTAGTAAAAGAAAATGCATATAGTTCAGGATACTATTAGTAATCATAACAACCGCTACGAAGGATCAAACGGTCGCACTACCCGCGCAAAAACTCCTATTGAACCTGGGGGTCGATTTAGAACCTTACGATAGCTTAGTTGTCGAAAGATTCGATTTGATATCGTACGATTTCTTTTCATTTTTATTCACAATAACCAAATCGAATGTCAAACTGTCGTACTCGAAACCGAACCGAAATGATGTCTCGACCGGCAAAGGCTACAAGCTTTTCAGAACCAAGCCAAAGTAATTCAGAACACAGTTATCGAATGAAAATTACCGAACGTCCTATTGTTTACAAAGCAAGAATATAATATGGAAATCTCTTATTATTTTAAATGAAGTCTGGATCTTGTTCAATTTTATTAATTTACTTTTAAGTCTTAAAAATGTATATAAAAAAATTTTCATTTTCTTGTAATCTATTTCACCGACTAACTCCGAAAACGCTGTTGGATAACTATATCGTATCCGAATCCGAATCGAACGAAAAGAAAAAGTTTCTGAATCGGGGCCCTAGTTTCCGAACTACTGGCCACTAATGAATAATAACCTCCGAGAGACCTCTAAAATCCTCGTTCGAGTGCCAAATTTATGGAATAAACCCTATGACGTAACAATTGACCTTTTAAAATGCGTAGGTGTACTTGAAAAACTCAAGTCCTAGTTCGAACCATCCACTGTATGTAATAAAAACTCTACGTTAAAAAATTATTAACATTTGACGATCTCCGTGGTCGAGTGGCTTGCAACCGGATGTCGCTATCTCTGAGGTCCCGGGTTCGATC